AAATAAATTATAAAATAATAAAATACGAACGTGACATCACTGTCGGTTAGCAACAAACCGGCAGTGATGGCACTGCCGGCTGAAGCCACAAACCGGCAGTGATTCTTACGACAACACTGCCGGTTGAAACACAAACCGACAATGTTGATGGAACTGAACTCTACCGGGTGGTCTTATGAACCGACAGTGTTGGTGGAACTGAACTCTGCCGGTTGTGTAAAGAACCGGCAGTGAAGTTGAAGAACACTGCCGGTTTTATAGGAACCGAGGAATCGACAGTGATAGCTTAGCCTCATCAGTGTCGATATGGTTGTGCCGGTTCAAAATCCGGTAGTGAAAGGGTATTTTGAACCGGCAGTGAAGTGCTATTCTGACGTAGTGGAAGACCAGTTCTCGATCTAAAAAGGCAAATGCTGGTTTAAACATGCTGCTCGGCTGCTGATGTCTGATGGGAAAGAAACACATTGTTGAAAGAACAAGAGCATGAAAAAGCAACCTAATTAAAGTTTGTCTGTTCCTGTGTTAATGTAAGTGAGAACAAATGAGCACAAGCCATGGTGCTTTGCAACTTTACAGGACCAAGAAAGAAAGATTAGTGCCTAACTAACCAGCCACCTCTCTGGACCATTGTTGAGTTGAGCCTTTTATTTTATCATCAGTGACCATCAGAATCTGAAGGCCAGACGAGAGGAAACCAAACAAAAAGGGAGCTGAAAAGGAGCAGCAGGAGAAGGATGAGGGAATAAAGCCAATTATATCAAGCACTTGCCTGTATTCATCCTCTCATTTCACACTTCGTCTTCTTGCTAAAGCTAAACAAGCGGTGCTTCATTCATCATGTGCCTGCCTTTTACTTTCTGCGATCCATTGCCATTGAGGATGTCCTGGCCCTTTGCAGTCAAGAGTCTCAGCAGAGTGGAGCTGCAACAAGCAGGAACAGGTCTTGCATTGCATTGAAACGACACCCTTCTTTGTGTGTTTGTCTGAAAGAGGGGGGGGTGTCATTCAGGAATGCCTCAAAAGAGCAGAGCAGAGCTGGCTGGCAGTGAACAAGTGGTTTGGACTTTTTCCAGCAATTTAGGAATCGTGTTGATAGGATCGCACAATCGTTTGTGAAAATGCAGATCGACAACAACTCACAGTGCATGGCTGCTGCACTATGACAAATAGGTAGACAAAAGCACTGGAGATTCGCCCATCTAGCATGACGTCAGTATGACCTGTGCTGACTTGGGCTAATCCCCACAGTGTAAGTGTAAAGTGTAAAAGGGGAAAGATTACTCCGTGATTGTAATCTCCACTGTCGAGAGAGAATTCCATTCCGCTTAAACGCGTAGTTCATGGGACGGTTAAGATGCTAGCATTGCCTTCCTTGCAAGATCATTTATAGCTAGGGAGGGTCTCTTTGAAACACAGGATTTTTAAAACGCAGTAATGAAAGATTGAAGCTGTACGAAAATTATAGTCCTTCAAGAATTCAAAATGCAGGAAAGTTTCCATTGTAGCCTCTAGATGCAAAGGAAAGTTTCCATGAGGTCTAACCTCATGCTAGTTTTTCTCTAAAATTCCTATAATTTCATACATCACATGCATAGTAATCCGAGAATTCCATAGAGTTTAATCCTATGCTTTTCTTTTATTCCAAAGAGGCAAAGAGAGCTTAAACCTTTGGCAAAGCGTACCGAAGAAACCTTTGATCTTGTTAAGCATTTGTCGGGAGGCCCTTGTAAAGGGACAAATTAACTTTGCTGCTTCACCGATGACCTCTCTCTTTGTTCTTTGATCGACAACTTTGCCTTGTTTGCAAACCAACTAAGGAAACCCCAAAACAAACTTCTGTACTATTCCTTCACTTTTTTGCAGGATTTTCCGGCAAGACTATTCAGTGGCAGAGAATATGTATCTATCCTTAAATAAATTAACGTGAGGCTACCATATGAGTAGCCTAGTGGCTAGTGAATAGAGTTCATAATTTAAAGGCAAACACTTTGTATGAGCAATTGAGCATGCACTTTGTATAAGCAACTGAGCATGCATGCATGCATCTGTGGTTACAAGATCTGTGGTGGTGGAAGCATCTTCCGGAATTCCACCAAAGTGCATCATTGCAAAATCTGCTCCTGTCTCATTATCAAACTATCATTCTTATCAATGTGTGACTAACACAGTTTCTGACAAAAGCTTCAGAAAGCCTACAAAAGTAAGATCGTTTTTTACTCTCTAAGGTTGCAAAGGTAAAACTGGTTTTTACACATCTGATCCATGATGAGCCAGTGAGATATGAAACTACAGGCTCCAGTTTCAGAACAGATCCAAAGTGCAGCGACTGCCAGCACCAACCACTGAAGGAAAAAGTCAAAAATCCTTCATGGAAGAATGATTTCCATCCAATCTAAGGATCCACAGCTAGTCTTTTGTTACGAAGCAAGGGAATCATTGCCATTTGTCATGCCACGGCTTCTCTTTCAGAAACAGATGAAAGGTGTACAGGGTGTGATGGTGTGCCCACACTGGAGATTAGAATGGAGATGCATGGTAGTAGTATTCAGACACGCAATCATCGACACCAGGAACTCACAAAGATATCACTTATCATAAAGTCGATTCATATTTTTTTTTTCAGTGGCAGGCAAATGAATGATTGACGGCATTATGCATGGCTAGTGAGCCTTAAATTCATTCACCAAACTTGCCTGCCACTCCTCCTTTGGCCCCAGACAGTACACACGCAGGCCTAGTGTGAGCCAGGACGGAGCTGCCACCGCCACCACACACGCACGCAAACAAACAAAGGAAAAAAATGATGGAAAAAACCGAGAAAAAAAGGATGCCATTGGATGCAATGCATGGATAGGGTGGGAGGTAGGGGCGAAAGGTTCTCCAGTTTCCCTAAAAAAAAGGATAGGGTGGGAGGACGCACATTTGTGCTACCCTTGTGAGTGAGGAGACTTTGCATTAATTGGCAAATCACAGGGCTTCAAATTGGAGGAGTCCCTCCCCGCCCCCCATCTTGAGCTGAGCTTCTCTTCTTCTTTTCATGTGATGCACGCACGACGCTCTGGCCATTAATTCCAGCTCTTTGACCTCGAAGATGCTCACCTCACCACACCAGCCATGGCAGGGGCAGCCGGCAGCAGTACAGTTCCCTTCCCAACGCCAAACGCATTGCCTGCCTCATAAAAGACGGCGTTGCATTGAGGAAGGTCACCACGGGCCCCCTGCCAACTGCTCTCTCTCTCTCTCTCTCTCTGGGCTGGGCATGCTCAGCTCAGCTGGGTGCCCCCTGCAGCCCTGCACTGCACTGCAACGTCCACCACCACCCCACCAAGTAGATCATCCGAGGTGACATATGTAGAGGTGACATATGTAGATCATCCGAGGTGACATATGGAACGAGAGATTTGCAGTGCTCATGCCTTCTCCATGATTCCATCCAACCTTTGCACTAAACAAAATTAATGAATACATATTCTGCTCATTTTAGAAACCAACCAACCAATCAATCAATCCAGGATGCAATGGAAGATGAGGATGTGAAAAATCTTTTTCGGTTGAGGTCAGTAACAGGCGACAGGATACACCTGATAGCTCTGATAGGCATGTCGTCGTTGAGAATCAGAGAGCAAGGTCAGGTTCAGTAACAGGGTCAATGGCCAGCGGGCACTGACTCTGGTAACCTGAACAAGCAGTATAGTAATCTGAATATTATAACGCCATTATTAGCCCGCCCTCGTGATTGCAAGATCACAGAGCAGCATCGGGCTAAGTACTCGTAGCCGTCACGGGCAGAGCCGGAGAGAGGCCCAGCCTCTTCCTGCCTAGAGCTCGTGAGCAGCAGCCAGACAAAGCCACCCACCCAGCAAGTTGCAGCAGCTCGCAATCTGGACTGGCCGGCCAGCCGTGCCCGGCCAGACGCCAAAGTCCTCCCCGATTAACTACCACTCGTCCACTGAAGATACACGCTAGGCAACAACGCAGTCACCTCCAGGTCCAGGCTCCTCTTGTTGTCTTCAACCGCCCCCTCGATCGGTTGCCCTGTTACAACCATGAGAACACGCATGAACAGGACAGCCAATGCAGTGCAGCCGTGCAGGGCTCAGGGCTCAGGAATCAGGAGCTCAGAGCACTAGAACATGTCCCCAAACCCGGTCACCTGTCACAACCCACAATGAGGCAGCGAATCACTCGGTTATAGGCGTTTGATCCTGAGGATTACAAATCCATCCAAAATGGCAGTCTTGTCGAGATTCTCGCCGAAAATGACATTGCAACATACATACGGTACGTACTCCTGCAATGGTACCATGGGTGATCATGGCTAGATCATTCGGAGTTGCCGTTTTCTTGAGCCACGCCAGGGGCAGGATCGAGTTCGGAATCAATTCCATTGCTGGAACTGGAATTGACGGGCCATGAGAAAGGAACTTGCGGTGGTTCTCTCTCACACGGTTTCTTTTCTTTGCCGTGTCACTTTCTTTCCCTCCCCTTCCCCTTAGGAACATTGGAACATGATCCGTCCATGGTCCATGGTTACAAAAAGGCCGACCACCCGACCCTTCGGTTACAAGCTGCTGCTCGCTTTTCTTCTGAGATGAGATCGAGATCATGGAAGGAACTATTTGCTTCTGAGATCTGCTACATACACACTGAAAATTGTCGTACTTGAACCACACTACCCACTTTATATAGCTGAAATTTGACCAAGCTTTTGTTTTTGAATTATAACTCCTTTGTTTGCACCACCATTGACAATAGCAGCAATTTGATCAAGACAATCACATCGCCAGCTATTCCACCCCACACCCAAGATTTCCCGGGATTTACAGTTAATAATTTTCATCGGTCATTTCTCCTGCAACAATCGCACAATTCTTACCACCTTCGTCGTTATATAAGGTAGATCGAGAAAGGAGTGAAAAAAATTAATTGCGAGAGAGAAAATAATTCTTCTTAGTTCTTCAGTCTTGCAAAGCCAGCAGCAGGCAGAGGAACGTCACTCGTCAATCTGCGACTGTCCACGTCATGTCGCCCTCGAAGATCCAGTGGCACACCTCCACCTCGCCGGGCTTTCCGCCGAGCGCCACGAATGCGCCGTGGCTCGGGCTCCAGTCCGACGTGTCCAGGTGGCAGATGGCCACCCCGTGGTTGATCTTCTTCTCGTCGGCGTCCGAGCCATCGGCGGCCATGATGTCGGCCTCGTACACCCGCACCTTGGGCACCGAGTGGCAGTAGTACACCAGGTACGGGAACAGGCTCTGGTGGCACGACACGGACTGCGTCACCCGGCCGCCGTCCACGCCCATCACCGTCCCGAGCCGGACGTCGCCGCCGCTGCCCGCCGTCGACGCCGTGCTGCGCACCACGATGTCGTCGCCCAGCGTCTCCACGGCGAAGTCCACCACGTCCTCGGCCGACGTCGCGCACCGCTTCGTCTCGCCCTTGCTCGGCGCTCGCAAGCACTCCGCCACCGTCGAGGACACGGCTTTCCCCATCGCCGTGTCGAGGGGGAAGCCGAACGCCTCCGACACGGCGCGGTGCTCGAACGGGATCCTCGCCGCGATGGCCCGGGGCAGGAACGCCCGGGGCGGCATCTTGTCCCTGATGTCCGGCATCGGCATTCGGTTCCCGGCCACCAGCTCACGCTCCCTGAAGAACTTGCCGGGCTCCGGCGACCACTTCAGGTGCTCGTGGTGCTGCATCGATGCCGCCGCCTCCGCCGACACCGTCAACGCCCCAGTAGAGGTGTTGTGGTACTCCTTGAAGCTGACGCCGGTCTTGGCGTAGCCCTTGAAGGTGTTGTTCTCGCCGGCGTACTCCTTGAACCCAATGTGGTGGTTGGGGTTGGTGCCCTCGCCGTAGCCCTTGAAGGTGGTGCTGCCCGGGTTGGCCGAGTTGCCGTAGCTCTCGAACTCCGCGGCGCCGCCGTTGGCGCCCTTGGCGTAGGAGGTGAACCTGTCATCGCCGACATTGGCGTCGTCGCGGTACTTCTTGAAGGTGTCCACGCCGGCGTTCCCGCCGGCGTCGTAGTTCCGGAACGTGTTCTCGGGGACGTTCCCCTCCACTCCGTACCCCGTGAAGGTGTCCGTGGCGCCGTTGGCGGACTGCCCGTAGTTGGCGAAGGCGGAGGCCAGCACGTTGGACTCGTTGCCGTAGGACGAGAACGTCTCCCGCACACCGTTGCCGTCTTTGCCGTAGCCGGAGAAGCCGTTCTCCCCGTGATTGGCCTCCTGGGAGTAGGACGCGAAGCTGCGGCCGCGGCCGTTGGCGCCGGCGTCGTAGTTGGTGAAGGTGGAGTCTGGGACGTTGGTCTCGGCGGCGTACGCGGCGAAGGAGCCCGAGCCGCCCGTGGCGCCGCCCGCGTAGGAGGTGAAGTTCGCGGTCACCACGTTGCCGTCGGCCTCGTAGGAGGTGAAGCTGTCGGCGCGTCCCGACGAGTCCCGGCCGTAGCGGCGGAAGCTGTCGGCGGCGACGTTGAGGTCCGGGGAGTAGTTCCGGAACGAGTCGGCCCCCGCTACGCCGCCGGTGCCGTAGTTGGAGAAGTTGGCGTTGCTGTAGCCCTTGAACGGCCCCCCGCCCCTGGGGCCCGACGCCGCCAGCGACGCCGCGTCGGTGGTAGCCGGGCCGGGGCAGAGGAGCGCGGCCTTGGTGCAGAGTGCGGGGAGGCGGGCGTGGATGTCGGGCAGTGCCGAGGGGAAGGAGGCGGAGTCGGCGGCCGGGAGCGGGGAGAGCTTGGCGACGAAGAAGGCTGGGTGCGGGCGGTTGTTGGGCACCTTGCGGTTCCAGTACCGGATGAATGCCGCCTTCGCCGTGAACGGGTTCACCGCAGGCGACGCGCCGGCTCCGGCGGCGGCGGCGGCAGCGGCGGCATTGTGCGGCAGGAGGTACACGAGGAGGAGCAGGGTGGCGGCGAGGACGGTGCGAATGGGCGGTGGTGTAGGGGAAGAAGCCATGGGAGATTTGGGGATGGGGATTGAGAGAAGAGGAGGACGGGTTAATAAGCAAGAGTGGGGAGTGAGTGTGAATGTGTGAGTGACAGGTGGCAAAAGACAGTTATTGTTTAGTTCAAAAAAAGAAAACTGACAGTTGTCGGAAAATTGGCAAATACAGTATTCCCCTCCCTCATTCTAAAAAAAAACTTTTTGCTTGTATTTTCTGTGAGAATATAATTGGTGGAATAATTTGTTATATTACATTGAGCCTTATGGGCGATTATACATAGTACATAACACTAATACCCACGTGAGTGGAAAATATGGTACTATTCTCATTTACTCTAACATCCCCTGCAGTCAGACAGACTGGAAAAAAAAAAGTTGACAAGGACAGAAACGCATTGAGCTAGTCATCGTGGAAGGGGGCGATGCCGATGTCAACGCAGTCAGGGTAGTCGAAAATGGCAACACAATTGAGGGAGGGTTGATGTAGTCAAGCCACCAAGACGAAGCATGCGCCGAAGTTGCTAGGTTCGGAACATGTCATGGACGAAGGCACGCACCAATGTTGCCAGTACGAGATAGAGGGCCCCAACCATGCATCAACATATGAGGGATCAACAGAGAAACAGAGAAGGTCTCAGCGACAGTTATAGTGCGCAGAACAGCATGATAGAAGGTGCTGACGCAGCCCGCAGCTGTCGGAGTTGACGAAGTAGATGGATAAGAGACGACGACGCATAAGACATGGTTGTGCTGGACGAAGAAGAAGCTATGCGGAGGCGTATGCGTCTAACCAAGAGGTGAGCAATCCGGGTGGACGCACTTGCCCAAAGGCAGCGGTCCGGACACAAGGTACAACGACAATAAGTGGCTCGATGTCGACAATGGAGAACTTGAATATCTTGACGAAGACCTTTGTATAGACGGATGGCACACCAGAGATTACGTAGCATATCGTCAATGCATAGGGCATGACAATGTAGACGCAACGGCGAAGCAAACACACTAGCAATGGTGCTGCAACCCGAAGAGGTAACACAACAGCAGCCTTGTTGCTCGGAGAAGATACGTGTAGTACTCGGCGTTGGACATCACGGAAGCCAGGTGAATCATGCATAATCGGTTGTACATACTAATTTTCTGTTCTAGATTTTCTTGTCTTCTATCATTCCGTCCCTAGTATACACTAGGTTCTTCGTTCTTAAACTTAGGCCCCGTTTGTGTGAACATATTTTTTGAAAACAACTTCTTGAGCAGTTTTCTTGGTGAAGTCGAGCTATTTTGGAAAAACCGTTTGACAAAACAGCTTCACTAACATCTTCATGCATAGTTGAGATAAGAAAATGAGGGAAAGAGTTGTGAAAAAACTACTTTGTTTAGCTTTATTTCTCTATTCCTTCATGGGAGCATAAAAATGAACTTCACCCTATGAGCTGTTTTCAAAATGGGTGTTTGGCAAAAATTAATAATAAATCTCACAATAGCTCACCAAGCTGTGCCAAATAGAACCTTTAATACTAATTTGAATTCTCTTTGTGAAATATCTGAGCAAAACAGTGAAATTTGTGTTTCCTGCTGGGAATGAGAAGAGCCAATTTATTTGGAAAGCAGCAAACGCGTTTGTTTACTTTTTTTTCAAACACAAAAGTTACACGCGTCACTGCCAGGTGAAAAACAAATAAAATAACGTATCTATTGAAAGACGATGGTACAAGTTGTGAAAATAAAGATGACATCAAAGGTATGGTGATTTCTTTATTAAGGCCCCGTTCGCGTGCCCTTAAACCCGGCTTGATCCGTTTCTTTTTTTATCCGGAACAGTGTTTTTCTCTCACAAATTCCTCCAGATTCCTCCAAATTTCTCCAAGCGAACGTGGCCTAACTTATATTCTAGTGAGCCAACTGACCAGATTGATAGTATTCTTGAAGCCATCCCATGCAAGATAGATGAAAATACCAATATAATGTTATGTAAGCCCTACACTGATGAGGAGATCCATGAAGCCTTATTCCAAATGGGTCCGACCAAAGTGCCTGGCCCGGATGGTTTCCCAGCACTATTTTATCAGCGCCATTGGGATTTTTTTAAGGTTGATATTTGCTCTGCAGTTAGGGGCTTTTTACAAGGTGACACTATTCCAGATGGTCTTTGTCATACAACTATTGTCTTAATTCCTAAGACCTCCAAGCCCGAGAGGCTGCTTAATTTTCGCCCAATCAGCTTATGCAATGTGCTTTATAAAATTGCATCAAAGGTCCTAGCAAATAGATTGAAAACTCTCCTTCCTGACATTATTTCCAATGAGCAAAGTGCTTTTGTTCCTGGTAGGCTTATAACAGATAATGTGCTAGTTGCATATGAATCTATGCATACCATCAGAAGACAAAAATCTAAAACACCTTGCTTTGAAAATAGATATGATGAAGGCTTATGATTATGAACAAGATGGCTTCTCTGACGATTGGATCAAAACTATAATGAGATGCATGACAAATGTGCAGTATGCTTAAAGATTAATGGAGAGCTCTCCCAACCTTTTGTTCCAACCAGGGGCCTAAGGCAAGGTGATCCTATCAGTCCATACCTTTTTCTTCTATGTGCCGAGAGGTTATCTTGCCTATTGAAAAAAAAGAAAGATGAAGGTAAAATTAAAGGTGTAAAAAATGGCAATAGTGGACCAGCCATATCCCATCTTCTGTTTGCGGATGATAGTATTTTCTTCACCAGAGGGGATGCCAAGAACCTTCGAGCTCTAAATGAGGTGCTGCACACTTATAGTAAAGGATCGGGGCAGCGAATTAATTTTGAAAAATCTTCAGTTTTCTTTGGTGATCATTGCCCAGAGCATATCAAGGACAGAATAATGACATGCCTCAATGTCCGGTGTGTGGTCATACAAACCAATTACTTGGGCATGCCATCTTGGGTAGGAAGATCTCCTACAAATACTTTTAATTTCCTACCTGACCGTATGTGGAAGAAAATAAGAGGATGGAGTGACCGTCCCCTCTCAAGGGCTGGTAAGGAAATAATGTTAAAGTCAGTCATCCAAGCTATTCCATTGTATGTTATGAGTTGCTTCCGTTTACCAGTTGCAATTTGTGATAGAACGAGGACAACAATATCGAACCACTCGTGGGGAATTGAAGATGGTAAGAAGAAATTGCATTGGCGATCCTGGAAATGGTTAACAACACCGAAAGCCATGGGAGGTATGAGATTTCGAGATATGGAACTCTTCAATCAGGCAATGCTAGGAAAGCAATGTTGGAGAATTCTTATAGTACCTGATTCACTTTGTGCCAGAGTACTCAAAGGGCGCTATTTTCCAAACTGCACATTTTGGGATGCGCCTCTGCCTAGAAGCTCTTCGTTCACATGGCGTAGTCTTATGTATGGTAAGGAAATTTTGATGAAAGGTATCTTGTGGAGAGTGGGAAATGGAAAAACTATTCGTATAATTAAGGACAATTGGATTCAAAGCACAACTACTATTAAATCTGCTGTTCATCTGCCAGAAAATTTGAAGGTGCGTTCTCTTATAGATGAGGTTGCTGGCAGATGGAATGAGGACATTGTCCGATCATATTTCAGTGAAGATGATGCTGAAAAGATCCTACAGATACAATTATGCTATACTTCATGTGAGGACTTTCCATTTGGGCCTCACACCAAATCAGGAATATATACTGTCAAATCAGCATACTCACTCATAAGATTGGAAAGCCTTCATCACTTTTTAAGCGAAAATGGCAGAGGTGAATCTTCAGATCAACTTGAGACATCTAAATTATGGAAGCGACTATGGGCAATTAAAGCACCACCAAAAATAAAAATAATCCTATGGAGAATGGCTCATGATTGTTTGCCAATAGGAGCACAACTAAAGTATAGACATGTTCCTGCATCTGATGCTTGCTGCTATTGTGGAAGAGAAGAAACAGTGGAGCATGTCATTTTAATGTGCCAATATGCTTAAGAGGTATGGCGTCAAATTAGAAAGTGTTTTGTTATAAATTGCAAGCCTCATGCTTTTCTACACATCAAACAATGGCTTTTTGATTTCTTAGATGGAGCAAAGGATGATGAAGCCACCGCATTTACAATTACTGTGTGGCACATTTGGGAGGCAAGAAATGCAGTTAGGAATGGAGAGAAAATGTTGCATCCTCATTCCATTGCTGAACCAACAAAAGCTTACATAGAGATGGTATTGATGCACTCTATAAAAGAATCCGCCCCCCACAGGTGCGAGTCTAATTGCTTGGCCCCTAAATGGACTCCACCGCCGGATGGCTGGTTGATGCTCAATGTAGATGCAGCCACCTTTAAAGATCCCTCTCGAATCAGAATAGGTGGAGTGATTTGTGATCATCTTGGGGATTTCAAAATGGCATTTTGTAAGAAGATGCACAGAGTTGAAGATCCTGAGTTGGCTGAAATTTTAGCAATTCGATGTGGTGTTTTGTTTGCAAAAGAACGAAATCTTCAGCATATCATTGTGGCTTCTGACTGTCAAAACATCATCAAAAAAATACAATCACCACATCTAGATAGATCTCATGTTGGAGCCATTGTGTGTGATGTCAAAAACTTAGTACATGAAGTTTTCTCTTTCATATACATTCAGAGAAGTTGCAATGAGGCAGCTCATGTAATGGCTAGGCTAGCTGATTAGTTCTCTGGTTCAGTTTAGTGTAATGAGGCTGCGGATGCAATTCGGACCCTTCTTTGTAACGATATGTTAAGATAATATATAATGCTGCCTTTTTCAAAATTTGGTTCTCGTGAGTAGTAGTGAGGACGCGTTTTCGGCTGTGGAGGCGCGTGCGCTGGATGGTATGTTTTGTTGTTGGGTTGGTCTGTCACGTGCTGACCTCCGGAGGCGGAGACCAGTGTCTTTTTGCTCCATATATGAACAACGAGTAATTCATTAATGTTTTATTTGCCAACATTAATGTTGTTTATTCTGGTGTGGTGTTCGACCAAGGATTCCAACTGGATTTGATGAAGC